AAAGGTCAGCAGCAAATTGGTTAATAAAATGGGATTAAATACATACATTTTTATTATTTAACATATTTAATTATTGCAGCTTTGGGTCATATTCTGAGTTGCATTTAACTGTTTTTATTCATTTTGAGAAAAACTAAATCTGTTTTTTTTTTTTTTGTGAGTGAGATGAATTAAAGCATCCTCACATTTATTCTAGAACTGAAGTAACATCTTACTCCTGATTTCTCTATAACATGGGGACAGGACAGCTGTCACTCAATACATGGGAAAAACAAAGTAACTGGCATTACTACTTTGAAAAAGTAACTCAAATAGTTTCTTGTAAATTAAAAAGTAATGCGTTACTTTACTAGTTACTTAAAAAAAGTAATCTGATTATGTAACTCGCGTTACTTGTAATGCATTACCCCCAACACTGATCATATCATAATATATCATATCATATCATGTATCATATCATATAAAAAAACACTTGACCCTCTAACACTAGCTTTCTGTATTTTTTTTCCTATCTATCTATCTATCTATCTATCTATCTATCTATCTATCTATCTATCTATCTATCTATCTATCATACTTTTAAACCTCTGAGTACTCGTTTAAAAATAGTTTAAAAACCAGGCCTTCTAAAAGGCATGGCAGCCAATCCTATATCCATAATTCCAAGCGTCCAAAGTGATTGACAGGCAGAGTGCGTTCTCTGATTGGCTAAAAAGCGCGGGCCGCCCCTGACTCTTTGTTTGTAGTGTGGTGATTTTACAGAGGAAGGTTTCTGTGACATCTGTCAAGTTATAAAGACGTATAATCATGCCACAGTGACGGTTGCTTTTATAAACGATAATATATTTTTTTCTAATATTACAAAAAAAATCTATAATCTTAATAATAATTTTTATTGCAAAATGTTATATATACACGAGTGAATTCATCAATATGTAAACGTTGTTGCGCGTTGAACCGGCTCGAGACGCTAGGTCCGGTGCACAGCAGAGCTGTGTGGAGGGTGACTGACACGGTCGTACAGGTGCAGGAACACGCTGGAAGCGAAAGGACGGAATTTGAAGGCGGTTGAGCATGACTGTTCCGTGAATGGATCAGAGGTAGGTGGGCGGAATAATATGGATTATAATGAAGGGGAAGAAGAAGAATGGGGAGAAAATAGGAGACGGATGGATGACAAAAGAGCTAAAGGGAATAAAAGAGTAAGAAATGAGCAAGATGATAGCACAGAAAGTGAAGAAGATGGACAAACTATGGTCCAGAAAGAAAGAGAGGAAACGTATGTAGTCATAATAAGATTTAATGAGAAGAACCAGGGGAGCATGAAGAAGATTAATCCACTGGTGCTAACAACAACTCTGGCTAACAAGATTGGGGATATAGAGTAAGCTAAGGTCCTTAATGATGGCAATCTATTGGTGAGGTGTGCTGATGCAGTGCAAATGGAAAAAGCGCTAAAAGTTAAAGAAATAGGAAAATGCAAGTGGGTCCCAGCACATGTTGGGATTAGGGGTAATGAGATGGCGGACAGGCTGGCTAAAAGGGCACTAACAAAAGAGAACATAGAAATGGAGGTTAATGTAAGTAAAGCAGAGGTTAAATGCATAATATGGGAGAAAGTCAATATAAGGTGGCAAGAGAGGTGGGAAAGAGAGGAGAAAGGGAGGCATTTATATCAAATTCAGAGAAATGTTAAAGAGGAAAGGATGGAAATTGGAAATAGGAGAGAAGATGCGGTGATGACTAGGTTAAGGTCGGGACATTGTTCACTGAATAAAACGCTAAAGATGATAGGGAAGCATGAGACAGGGTTGTGTGAGGGATGTCGAGAAGAGGAGTCAGTGGAGCACATAATCATGACTTGTAAGAGATATGAAACAGAGGCAGGTAATGAAGAATAAACTAAGGGAGATTGTGCTGCAGGAGATCACATTACAAGGGTTACTAAGCACAGTAAATAGGGCACAGAGTAGAATATTGATTACTTTTTTAAGGGAAGCAGGGGTTTTAAGCAGGATTTGATGTATGATGTGTGGTGGGTGTGTGGATATTAATGTGAGGGGACAATGTGAGTGATGTGTAAGTTTTAGTGGGAAAAGGGAATAGATAACCTATTATCTGATCCACACTCCGGAGCAGAAGGGGGCGGTAATGCACCAATAAGCTGGATGCCAATCGCCGTTAAACTGGAAAGAAGAAGAAGAAGAAGAACCGGCTCCACCTCTACTGCGCAGCGCCATATTCACCAACGCAATGCAACGCAGTTTGCGCAGGATGATCCAGGCGGATCTTCCCCAGACCAGCAAGTGGCGCTGACGGTAGCGCTTGGGGTTGGCAACGGCTGGACTGTGACTGGGCAGGAAATGGCAGAAGGAAGTGACGAGTGAGGAAGTGAGATGGGATTTGAAGAAGATGGCGGGGGAGATAGTAGCGCAGGGGTGGCGAACTCCGGTCCTGGAGAGCCGCAGTCCTGCAGAGTTCAGCTCCAACCCTAATTAAAACTCACCTGCCTGGAGCTTCCTAATAACCATTCAGACCTTGATTAGCTTGTTCAGGTGTGTTTGATTAGGGTTGAAGCAAAACTCTGCAGGGCTGCGGCTCTCC